TGCTGGCCATTGGGCAAACTGACCTTAGTAATTATACTTTAGCACTATGTGAATAATTATTCTTAGCCTAATTATCAAGCAAGTTGTATAATAGATACATACTTGTGTCAGTAATTCTTGTCCTAGTCCAAAAAAACTGATTAATTTAATGATATTTTAATATTGATTAAATGAAACACATCAGCTAACATAAATTTCCAATGCGATGGTATAATGACGTTATGTTTAAGGCAACTGGTATCAATGGTCATGCCATATACTTTCAAATGAGGAGTAAAATGAGCATAGGGCAGAGACCTTGAGGTATCTGATCTAGGACTTAAGTAATTTTTTTTCTGAGCCCTGCCAAGAGGGGGGTACTCAAGCCCCCTTAACCCCCATCTTGGATATGTCACTGTGCACATTTAATTAGATGCCTGTCAAATATTGAGTCAATTAACACTGTCTAATTTTTTAACATTTATCTGAACCTGAATCCTAATGCATACAGGAATTTCATTAGATGCATGCTCAGTAATTATGCTTTCCTGCTTACAAACAATTAGTAATTATGCTTTCCTGCTTACAGACAATTACTGTTATCAATTTAAAACTTATGATATACCGTAGGACGATTTATATTCGCGACTGCTAATATTCGCGAATTCTTCCCGCCACTAACAATTGCCATAGCAACTGGATGCTATTTTAATTGAAACGGCGCGGTATTGAAACACAGCACCAGGATGCAGTGTTCTTGAGTTGTTATTCTTCTTGCTGTTACTAATCCTTGGACTCTTTGAAGCTGCTTTAGCCAGTTCTTTTAGAAATACTCTACTCACTCTCCCTCGCCGTGTCTTGGGACTCTCCACCCATTCTAGTTAGTGTTTATTGACTTGGGTGTGGTTTATAATCATGACCGACCGACCAGTACTGATTTTGCAGCTAAGAGCTCGAAGGTAGCGGTCCATCTATACAAGAAGATAGCGGATAGAGAACTATAGAGTCTAGATGGCTCCACTAAAACTGCTAA